TAAAAAAAAAAAAAAAAAAAAAAAAAAAACCCTAAACCCTAAACCCTAAACCCTAAACCCTAAACCCTAAAAATTGGAATTTTTTTTTATACAAAAAAAAAAGGGTTTATTATTATTAGGGTTTAACGAACCTCGTCAAATTCGCTCAACAGCAGAATGCATAAATCGCCAGACTGCAAAAAACACCCACAAACCCTAAACCCTAAACCCTAAACCCTAAACCCTAGGGTGTCGAACCCATCCCCGTTTGCACTCTAGCGAGGGTCTATCGAACCCGTATTGCCCGTCAAACCCTAAACCCTAATTATTATGTTATATATAGGGAATAGTTAGCTAGGGTTTATTGATTTACGGGTGTTTCTGGAGGAATCTTGAATCTAAGGAACTCCATCCCTTCTCTTTCTTGTTTAGTAAATGCCTCTCTTATCTCATTATGATTATTTGCCCAAGTCCTAAAGAAAGGTTCTGCTGCTTTTCCTTGCGGTCTCTCCCATGGAGAAAAAGAACGACAATTTCTTGTTAATATCTTCTCCTTTACTAATACTGGGGCTGCATGCCATGCTTCCGTTAGCTCATATACTGCATACAACAATATAAACCCTAAACCCTAAACCCTAAACTCTATGTAAACCCTAAATAAACCCTAAACCCTAAAATGCACGCGGTAGCCAGGAATGCATGCAGGGGGCAACGGGCATAGTATAGTCATTGCTGCCAATGTCCCAAACCCTAAAAATATAAGCCTCAAACCCTAAAAGTCCTAAACCCTAAACCCTAAACCCTAAACCCTAGCTACTAGACTGCAAAAAGCTCTCCTTACCGACATGGTCATCTTCTGCAAACTCTGAACTTTCAAGACCGTCAGGAAATGAAATTTTCGTCTTTTTTACGAATTCGTGGCATTTTCCTTGTTTTGTCTGCAAAAAAGCCCCAAAGCCCCAAATAATAATGCATGCATATTTGCATGCATGCATATTTGCATGCATGCATGTGAATAAGTTTAATAAAAGAGAAAATGTTCAACTATTTGCTGCTATTTGCCTCACCACTGCATGCACCACATTCAACTTCTCGCAGCCAACAGGCCACAAGGCAAAGTTGGCGATACAACCTATACCACACACACACACACACACAAACCCTAAACCCTAAACCCTAAACCCTAGGCCAGTAACAACTGTCCTGAGGCTAATGACAGGCTCCTCCACCGCAGCAACATCGTCAGGCGTAACTTGAAGCTTCCCCAGAAAACGACCTCCTCTACGCGTCAAACCCTAAACCCTAAACCCTAAACCCTAAACCCTAAACCCTAACCTGGAGCTTGATACATTGAGGGAGCCGCGAGAATAAGGAGATCAGGTTGTGCTTTCTCTGCTATCTTAAACCCCATCCGTACATTTCTTGCTATTAGGCCGTCGCTTACTGCTGGTGCCGCAACTAATGATAGAGGAAGCGACCCTGTAAAAAAAACACAAACCCTAAACCCTAAACCCTAAACCCCAAAATCTGAACTCACAGGAGGACAGAGATGGGCTGTAAAGATTAAGGACCAACAAGAATAAGCACGAAAACATATATGCATGCATGCATGCATGCATGCATGCATAATTGCGTACCGTATTCTTGGGGCTTTGGATGTTTATCATCATGTGTCTCAACAAGGAAGATGGCGCATCTTACGGAGGAGAAATCATTGCTAACATTAATAAGTTGTTTATTTGCATTAATTTCTTCGTTTATATTTTGTTGTATTTCTTTATTTGCTTCTTTATCCATAAGAAGATTATCTTGTTGTTTATTAGCAAGAGAAGAAGGAATCCATTGTTGCCACCAAGGTGCTGCATGCATGCGTTCGTGCGGTAGCGGTGGTGCATGCGCTTGCAGACGCATGCGAGGATTACTTTTGGGGCTTGATTTGCATGCACTAATAGGAACGGGGCTTGATTGAAATCCTGCAGAATATGCCCAATCCTCTAGACCTCCATTAACAGGATAAATAACATCAGAGACGGGGCCCTCAGGATAATATGAATAATTAATTCTTTTTGTTGTTGCATGCATATTTTCTTCTTCTTCTTCTTCTCCTCCTCCCCAAAACATTTGCAATAAAGAACTGTGCTGCTGCTGCTGCTGCTGCGCTAATTGCTGCTGCTGACGCCGCCGCTGCTCCGCAACAAAATGTGCAGATAAATAGGGAGAGGTATACTCTGATGAACTAGGACCACCAGCCTCCTGCATGCATTACATATATACACACAAACCCTAAACCCTAAACCCTAAACCCTAAACCCTAAACCCTAATCTTCGACCCTATACTAACAGGAAATTAAGAAGGTAAGAAATCGACGCAGTCTAGGTGTGTGTTGTGGCTCATCAACCCTAGACCCTAGACCCTAGACCCTAAACCCTAAACCCTAATTATTTACCTGCAGCCATTCGCCAAGCTTGGCAAAGGCCAAGTCGTCTGGGGGTGGCCGGCTACGGAATGAACCCGGACCAACCTGCAGAATAACACCAAACCCTAAACCCTAAACCCTAAACCCTAAACCCTAGACTAGGAGATGCAAGACAAAGAACGGCACTCAAGCCTACGCCCCGCTAAACCCTAAACCCTCGGCGTGAATATAGCATCCCCAATCGCCCCTAATCCTAGATGCCAAACCCTAAACCCTAAACACCAAGCTTATCTAAACCCTAAACCCTTGAACTAAACGCTAAACCCTAAACCCTAAACCCTAGCGTACAGGCTCTGAGTGGTCAAAGGATCCCCATGGCCTTGCGATGGCTCTCATTCCTCCATGCCAAGTAATCCCCGCAATAAAGAGGTAGCGCTCGAAGGCAGCACCTACCAGCCTGCACACAAACCCTAAACCCTAAACCCTAAACCCTAAACCCTTCGGTTTCAATATTTCCCTTAGACTGTCATCAATCCCTCCACTCTGAATAGAGAGCAAATCCGCCGGCCATACAGGAATTCAGGTTTAGTGTTTAGGGTTTAGTGTTTAGGGTTTAGGGTTTAGGGTTACTTGGAGGTGAGTGCCGAGAAACAATTGCTATTTAGGTAAGGAAAATCCCTATTAGGGTCTATGCCTCTCTCCCCTCTTTTATCACGAGAAAACCCCCAAGGGTTAAAGAAGGGGAATACGACTAACAAGCGGTTAGTCAATAAATAATACACCTATAAATACAAACCCTAAACCCTAAACCCTAAACCCTAATCCACAAAACAGTGACTCTTCTGCTGTATCTTCAGCAAATGCAGCAGCAAACCCTTGCTTCTTCGCAATCACACCTAAAAGATGCAGAAGGTGGCAAGGGGCAACTTAGGGTTTAGTGTTTAGGGTTTAGGGTTTAGGGTTTAGGGTTTAGGGTTTGAGACAGACCTCGTCAACCTCAGTAAACTGTGAGGCCAAAAGGGCAACCAAATAAACTGCCACCGTGGGCCCCACGACTTCATCTCCGTGCAGCAACCCGCTGCAACAAAAAAAACCCTAAACCCTAAACCCTAAACCCTAAACCCTAAAACGCAAACCCTACTTAGAGACGATGCAACGCATGTGCAGGAGGCAAAAGAGGAAACAGCAGCAAACACACACTGGAAAGAATGTAAATCCTAAACCCTCAGCCAGCAAGGACACAAACCCTTAAACCCTAAACCCTAAACCCTAAACCCTAAACCCTAAACCCTAAACCCTAATTGAGCCTAACCTGTAGAAGAGGGTGGGTGTGCTCCTGTTGATGGAGCTACGAAGGCCAAGCTCTACATACGGCACTCGGCACGTCTCCTTCCCGCATATTAATCTGCAGCAGCAGCAGCAGCAGCAGCAGCAGCCACGAACCCTAAACCCTAAACCCTAAACCCTAGAGTCAACAAGGTGCCGTCATATCCTCCCCTGCAAAGAAAGCCTAGAATTTGCTATCCTAGCAGCAGCAGCAGCAGCAGCAGCAGCAGCAAGACACGGAAAAGGCAGCAAACGGCAGTGTAGAAGCAGCACAGACACAAAAGAAGGGGAAGCAGCAGCAACAACAGGAACAGCAGCTGCTGCTGCTGCTACTGCAGTAGCAACAAGAGCAACACGAGTAGAAGAGGCAACAGCAGAAACCAACTGCAGCAGCAGTATCATCAGTAGCAGCAATAACAACAACAGCAGCAGCAGCAGCGGCACCAACAGGGGCAGCGCCAATAGCAACAACAATAGCAGCCACAGTAGTAAATGCACAAACAGCAGCAAATACAGCAGCAGCAGCAGCAGCAGCAGCAAGAGTTACTCCTTTGCATCTTCATCTAAGCCGAATGCCGTCACTGCGTCTCTAACTCTTATTAGATGAGGAAAGCGCTGCTGCAGCAGCGGCAGCAAGGAGAGGATGCTGCTGTACGTAAGAGGTAGGTCTACCTGCCCCTTAAGTAGCCGCTCAACTGCTGCTGCTGCTGCTGCTGCTGCTGCAGCTGCTGCTTCCGCTGGGTCTACTGGTGATGTAACAGCAGAAGAAGAATCATCATTTCCTCTAACTCCTCGCATCGCTGTCTCTGCTGCTGCTGCTGCTGCCTTCTTTGCAGCTGCTGCAGCTTCGGGGACTACAGCACCTCCTGCACCAGCAGGTGCTGTTGCAGCAAAATGCTGCACCCCCTCCACCATTGGGTCTGCATGCGCATGATGCAGCTGCTGCAGTAGCAGCAGCTGCAACAGCAGCTGCAGCAACAGGGTAAGATAGAAATAGGCAGCCATTGCTGGGGATTGTACAGAATCCGTCAGACCATTGCATTCATATATCCTCAGGAGCAGCAGCAACAGCAGCAGCAGCAGATATCAGCTGCCTCAGTCACGCTAGCTGCTGCGACCTGAGTGTCCCACCATTGCAGCTCGTGCCGCTGGGGATTTATGAAATATAATGAGTGTTTTCTTTGTGGTTTCTCCTGGGTGTTCAAAACTCGTGAGGTGTGCATACACCCGAAACTGAGGGAAAAAAACGGCTCTTTATTAGACAGAATAATACTCCTGCCACTTCATTCAATCTGTAGCTATCCTCGTCGTTCAACAACCTCACAAGGACAGCTGCAGGTGAAAACTTGCAGTAGCAAGAACGACGGCGGCGCCCTCCGCTGCTGCTAATAATGATGGGGCTCGCTTGGGGCCCGAGGAGTATACTCTGAGAAAACTAAGGGAAAATAGAACTTAATTACTTTAAGATAAGGAGGGAAAATGGTGGCAATGAAGAAGTTGTGTTTCCTTAGCTGCCGGCGGAGTGCGGCGATGTCTGCAGATCTTCGATTGAGCTGTATGTTGACCCAGTTAACCTCTCCGCCATTAGTTCCTTTTTCTTGTTGCTGCACTCTTTCAGTATATTCTAAATGAATTGAAATGCACAATTATATATCTTAGAAGCTGTCCGATAGTGTCAGTGATGCAATACCTCCGACCGCCGATGCAGTGTACTTACTAAAGTGCGCGCATGCAACGCCCTTTGGGGGAAACTGACATCAAATGTTGGTAAAGTGGGGCTGGAAAACCGAGCCAGTGCATCTTTTGCATGTATCGCAGCAGAAGAATGCGAATAATTCTTCTGTATAGGCAGCACGTCGCAGGCACAAACAGCGCAGAGAAGCAACAAACAGAACACAGACGGTAGTGTATATGTATGTATGTATGTACCCGTCACGGTAGACTCATTAGATACAACAATAAAAGTAAGGATAATCATAGCATATAGTTGAAACAAAAGAGAAAATAACTCTACTAGTATCCATCTATGTTCGTCTTTGTTGTGTATGTGCAGCAGCACAATGCTGCGTTCTTCTCGGATTTCTTGCTTGTTAGCGCATCTGCAAATCTTCGTTCTTCCTCGTCTTTATCTAAACAAATAGATATAAAACATATTTATCTGCTGCTTCCCCTATTAATCCCTTTGTATTGTGTGCACCATGAGTTAACCGTCTCCTATGTTGCCTGCCAGTAACGGAGGTGCACTATAGGGGCTCCTTTCCCCCTGTTTGTTATTTATTGACTGTTTACTTAAGAGGGAGACAGGTGCATGCAGTAACGAATTAAATGGAGAAGATACGCAATATGCATGCAAATAAGGCATTATCTGCTGCACATAGCACTATTTCTCTCCTTTGTTTATTTAAGTAGTAAAGAAGACGTAAATGTATTTGCTGCTTATATTTCTTATCTTGCAGCATATACTGCAGCAAGAAGCTGCTGTATAGTACTTATTATAATAATTATTATTATTATTTATTTATATTATATTAGTTATTAATATAACATTATGCAAGTCGTACCCATTAGGTGCATTAAAGGAACATCTACTGCTCGCGGCAGTCATTAGAAAAAGGGCCTCCCTTAGGAAACATAGAGGGAACAGCACCAAACAAACATTCAGCTGGATTTGCTGCTGCTGCTGCTGCTGCTGCTGCTGCTGCTCGGTAACTATTAAGAGGAAACTATACTGCCGCTTCTTTTCTGTTTTTAGTTTGCATGCACTTCTAGGGGTTGAGGGTTTAGGGCTATTCAAGCACCTGTGTCAACAGGAAAGACAGTGCCAATAGCGTGCTGATGCAGCAGCAGCGACAGTAGCAACTGCTGCAGCTGCAGCTGCAGCTGCAAAGTAAACCACAGCAGCAGGAGTGCACTATAGTAGCAGCAGAAGACGTAGCAGCAGAAGATGGTCTTCACACTGTGAAGAAACAGTAAGTCAATGCCCGCTGCGCATGCAAGTTTCCCTTCTGTTGCAGCAATATATACACTGCAGATAGAGGGATATTTGGATTTAAGACAGAATTTAATTAGGTTTCTCTTTATAGTAACAAAAGAAACCCAAGAAAAGCTGTACACATGGTTTAGTATTTTGTGGCAATGCACGCGATGAGAACTGTGGTCGCTATTTACGCAGATAATATACATTATTTTCTATTTTCTTATAATATATTACATATATTATTATTCAGCACAAAGAGGCAGCGTTAGTGAAGACGCAACAAGAACGTCCATGAGATATGTTTGTGCAGGCAGTACTACTTGTGCAGTACGTGTGCGCAAAATATTGATCCATTTGTTTTATGCAAAAAAATAAATAAAACCGAAGCTAAATCGAATTAGAATCCGAAAAACAAACAGAAATAGGGATGAAATTCCTCTCTTTCTCTTTGTTCTCTTTCTTTTGCCTGCTTCCGCCGACCGGAGAGCAGCACACCAAAATATGCAAAACGATGAAATGTTTCATAACACACGTATATACCCATTATACAACGTACATACGCATTATATATATTCGTAAAGTATGTTTTTGTACGAGGATAAGCAGTAAATGCAGATGCTTACTTCAGCGACTTCTGCATACCTACATATTTGCGAGGGTTTAGAGTTGTCGCTAGCTGTCAATATTGCATCTGGATAATTATGTTTTTATGGTGTCTGCGTTGCTGTATTTATTTGCGTGTAGTCGCTGCTCTAAAACGGAACCATGAACCATGGCTCTAAACGCTCATGGAGGAGGGGAGGTTTCGCCAGAGGATTCGTCGCCTGATTCTCCGCCCAACAAGGACTCCGATCCACTACCTGTCCAGTACTTTTCCCCTTCTGATTCTTCCGATTCGCTCTCTGAAACTTGTTCCCCTCTTGCTTTTCTTCTTTCTCGCCTACGCTTTCTTTTTCTCTCTTGTTCACGCTCCCTCAGCCTGTCTGCTTCGTTTGCACGAGCCCTTTGCTCCCGTTTCTGCCTCCACCATTTGCGAAGTCGGTCAAATTGCAAGAAACCCCCCTTGCTATTTGCTTCGCCATTTTCCGATGCTTGGAGATCGCTGTATTTATCCAGGTCTGGTGTTGCGCCCGTATTTTGTTGCAGTTGAGCTAAGCTCCCCTCCGCGATTTCTTCGCTGTCTCGGGAGTTGCTAGAGGGAGAGCCCAAGGGTTTCAAAGCCCTATTGGCAAGCAAATCCCTCCCTTGTAAACCTTCTTTTTCTTTTATTTCGGTCGGTGAACTCTCAGAGAAGCTCGAGGGGTCCTCAAAGGGAGCCGCATTTCCAACTAATTCCCAATCGTTGTCATATGTAGGAGACAATGATTGATTGTAGTCGTAGGCAACCGGAGATAGGCTCAGACGAACACAAAATGAACCAGGAAGAAAATCAAGTAAAGCCACAGCAGCTGCCAACAAAGTCGGCTGCCCTAGAGTGTACATTTTCATTTTCTTAGGTGCTCAAGAAGCCGTGGCGAACACCAAGGGCGCAGAAACCGATTAATGTCTTTGTTCAAAGGATGAATCCAAACTTACAAAGCATAGATTCAATGATATTAAACTTTTAAATCTCGGATATTGCAAGCAAATGCATTGAAATTTGCAAGTTGCTAGCCAGCCAGCGGCGATCACCTAACCGTACAGCTGGCGGGGTCCCAGCAAATGTACCGCAGCTCTACGACCGCTGCGTGTCCTAGCCAGCCTTTCATCAAGTAGTAGTTTTTAATACAGACTCCACAGTATATTTTGCGAAGACAGCAAAAACGACCTGATGAGCTCGAAATTTCCTACCAAGCTATTCAAAATACTCACCTCGATGTTGCTGTGGTCACCGAGCCGCCGGTAGCAGCATCGATATCTGTTAATGCATTATTCCAATGAGCTTAAAGTATTGACACACACTTCTGATTTATTAAAGTAAAAGGAGCAACTGGATAAACAAAAAAAATTGCTTATGCTCGCTGCCCCGGCGTGGAGATCACGACGATCCCGTGCCCGTCGCGCGCCCTGTGCTCAGACGAGCTGAACGGGAACATGTAAGACATCAAGCAAAAACGCATCATACAGACAAAACTAGATAAAACAAAATGATATGCAATGAAAAATGTTGCTTAAAGAAGAATAAATTAGTGGATGGACCCTACGTTGCCGTCGCCATGATTTGAACAATCTTTGGCTGTATACACCCTCCGGTGTACAGTGGATTTACAGGCAACTACGCATCAAATATGGCCCACTACACGCACTTGAGCTAATGCAGATCGTTTTCAGTAATAATACAGGATAGTAATTGGGCGGTGTAGAATTGACAAAAAGGCGTCCTCCGAGCAATGGGCGCCCAAAACCCATAAACCCCACGCAAATTTTTTTTCTCCAACAGTTTGTGTTTTCAGTGCCAAATGCATGAAAATGACGAAGGGTTTGATTCTATATTAACCAGCAATTACTTCAAGACAAATCAGGCAAATCACAGGAGTTGCAATCCATCGCCAAAATGTACCTCATCAATGTGATTTTGCAGTAAGCTGCAAGGCGCCCTTTGTTTCTATTGCCACTCGTATTTCGTTCGTGTAGTAATATGTATTTTCTTTGGAATATGTTGGAGAACGGCATCTGCCGCCGCTATATGTCCCCGCTTTCCCTATATTTTACCCTTTATTTGGGCTTGCCTCAGAATACTGGAAAGAATTCCCAAGATTGAGAAGCAGAAAAAACCCGTAAAGGGATCGGTGGTTCTGTTAGTAAGCTGAGGAAGCAAAGAAGACAGGCGTGCGTAATCACGGTTAGATAATATCTATTTTGAAAAATGCTGCACATGTTGAATGGATATCCACCAAGACGGATTTCTCTCTGCAGAGAAAACGAAGAATAGCACACGAGTTTCTTCAAAAGTTATTTCTGCACAAACACAAAGGACGCTCTACGACAACTGAGTGTAATGCCAACAGGGTCTAACTGTTCTTCCCCCACAAATTCGGCTTTGGAAGCTTGTGCATTGAAACCTCAAATTGAATTGTATGAGGGGAGACGGAAAAAAACAAATAAATCGCGAAGTTTTTTTGCCGTGTTCGATGAAACGGGCGGGCGCTATGCTGCGGTGCGGCAATACGAGGAATGGGGAGTGAAACCTCAGCTTAACATCATATACCCTCTTCATGCAGACAAGCATTTAATTGACAGCAAAACCCCAGATAGCCGGTTAGCAATATATATAGACGGAAGGGATAATCATGTGGATTCATCCCCGGCGTAGGGCGGCGCCTGCTCGGATCGCACACACACGGTTCTTCGATTCAGTTCGGTTTCCCTCCACAGGTGAGCATTTTGCTGTTCCAATTAAACTTTTTGAAAATTAATTGAACTATTTTAAGTACTCTGCGTTGGATGCCAGTGGAAAGCGTGCACAATACGTCCTTCAAGATCGAGCGGTAGAAGGCTAGCCGCCCATTCTAACAAAGTTCGGCAACCATAAGTGAGTTGAGGTCCGGTTTCAAAATGAGATTCAACCCCACATCTATAAAGTACGCCTTTACTATTTTTTCATGAATTGAGTCTCCCAGATAACTCGTATCGAATTGCGCTTCTCAACTTGCTGCGGGCAGGCCCGATCGGCAAGAGGACCGGTGGTCAGCGCACAGTTGACAAGGATCCTCCGATGAAAAAAATAAAGATAAATTTAAGCATTTCATTCATCTTATCAAAATTTATGTTGCTTTAATGGACTGTTGTGAAGTCGACAGGGATGCATTTCAAGTTCTATTTCTACGTCAACGCAGTTGCGGTACAACCGGCCACAGCAGGCAGACGCTGCCGCCGACCGCCTGCGTTCCTAGGCTCGGCGCTCACCTGCGCCGCGCGTGTCTGCAGTTGTTCTCACATTCAGTTCTTCAAATTTTTTTTGCTTGTAAATCTTAATACTTGGGGATTTTTTTCTATTGGTGGCCCCGTAAGGCTTGGGCTCACCGGGCGTTCCCTCCGCTGTATCCTTCAGGACGCCGGCAAGAAGGCCGTCAGCGGAACCATGACGAGGAAGCTGTTTTATTCGGCCCCCTTTGGGGCCTTCCTTTTGTCTTTAGATTGGATTTCTTATTCTGTTGCCATCCACCTGTCAGCTGCAAATGAAACGTTTCCAAGGGGAGAAGCAGCCCTCCTCAGTCAGCCGTACTTGCGGGAGGAGGCGGAAGGCGGCTTCGGTCTTTCCCCCTCCTCTGAACCTAGCTTTCTGCAAAAAGGATTTTTGTTCGGAAGAAAACGAAAGGGAAAACCTGGTGGGGAGCCAACCCCCCAGGCCCATGGTGAAAACCCGGAGCTTTGGTTGACCTCCACTGGTGGTCCCTTCCCTGCTACCGCATCGGAATCTTTGGGTAGTCCGACTGAAAAGGTGACTCAACCTGGAGATTTTGACGACGGTCCCCCTGCTGAATCCCGGCGAAAACCTGTTGCAGTGGGACCTGTAAGAGTGGGTACCACGATAAGGAGAGGCGCAGACTCGTTCAGGAAGAAGCAACAGGAGCACGGGCCACGGCATATTCCAATTTCCGAGAGAAGGTATGGTCCTGCATCTGCTCTTGGCGGACCAACACCAATAACACAAGCATCAGGTGCCGGCGCACCTACATCAGGACCCACCGATCCTTTTGGATCATTTCCGGCGGACCTAAGTGGATCGCTCCCCGCGGTCAGCGGCCCTTCGCAGCCGATCACCTCAGCAGTGACAGAAGATCCCTGGATAACGCGGGGGCCATCAACCCAATTCCCAAGCCAGGGTTCGGCACAGTCTCCTTTTGCAGCCCCACGCCCTCCATTTCCATCCCAAAGTCCAGCAACCCCTACAGCTGGGCAAGGCACACGTGGATACCCGTTTTCACCGACTTCAACTGCAGGGCAAACAGTTGCCTTCGTCTTCCCAGGTTCTGGAGAGGGATCCACTGGTAAACCCCCCCGTTTGGGGGCGCCAGTGCTTCCGCCAATCCCCACCGGTGGCTTGCCCAAGCTACGTGCCACTCTATCTCAAGAAGGTGGCTCTCCTTCGACCACGTCAGAGGGGCCAAAGCGGGTCCCCCGCAAAGCCCCTCCCAAACCGCCAAGGCGTAACCTACCTGTTTCCAGTCAATCCATGGATGAAGGCTCTACTGGGAGCGTGGGAATACAGCCAATACCGACTCCTCGTAAAACCCCTCCCAAACCGCCACTTCGTAGACAACCTCAATCAGTTGATGAATCTGCACTGTTGGGTGGACCTTCAGAGAGCGCATCTCCAGCCTGGGACGCCGATGATGAAGATGATGAGCCACCCCCCGACTTCATACCCCCACTTCCGCCTGGGAAAAGGCCGCGGCAGCAGTAGAGAGCTCTTCGCTACTCCACAACGCAGCGCAACAAACAACAATATATAATAGATGCATGTGTGCCAATCCATATGCATGGAGTTGTGTATATATTATGAGTGTATGCACTTGTCTGTACAGCGATCGCAGGACACCTCCGCGAGGGAATGTTTTTGAAGGTAAATTTGTAGCAAGTTTATTTCTTAATATGGTTTAGAGGTGTATTGTCCTCCCCAGAGACAAAGACGGCCACTGTCCTATCGGTCTAGATGTCGTTTGTTCCAAACAGGGAAAGAACATTCGATTTCAGTGACCGTCATGTTTACAGAGCCTACTTGAACAATCTCTGGGTACTGCAACCAACTGTATTTAATTTTTGCTTGTTTGAACGAGCGCAATGCATTCACTATATATTTTAACGATAGTTATTCAGCTGTTCACGTAAACAATGGCACGTCTTGGTAGCGGCAGCAATTTACTATAACAGTATTGATCATTGTATTGCAGTAGCTTGTTACACCCAACACGTCTAGCGGCCATTTGGTTAATTGTGTGCTGTTCAAATCAAGGGCAGCCGCTTGCCTCTCGGTATTTTTCACCCGGATGAACAATATAGAGCAATATCAGTAAATTGGGAAAAGTTCAATCAGTTGCACATATATAACAAATTTCTATATAAATATAGACAAACATATTAAATAAGTTATAACAGCTTGCCATTCCTCACCTCTTTGTCGTGCACTGTAAGTTGGAGTGTGCTGTGTGTGTTGTGCGGCGTGCATGTGTTGGCCATCAGTTCGTAGAGTTGTCTGTAGGTTGTAGATGTGGTGTGTGTGGAATAATGTAGGCTAACGCATACATCTATACACGCATATGCAAGGGTATCCCTAGAGGATGCAAATACGAAGTAGTTCATTAGAAACAGTATCTTAGGAAGGGGAAGTCCCTGCCGCATTGTTGGTGTGTTTTCTGTTGAGCATCAATTGTTAAGCAATAAAAACTTTTTACTGATAACTATCTATTCATCTTACCTGTAATCCAAAGAGTGCAACTGGAAGGGTTTAATTCATAGCAATACATTCTCAGTGATTACATTTTTCGAGGGAACAAGAACTGGCAGTAGATAATGCTGTGAGTGAGAGAGCTTGCTGAGTTTGTACAGAATGCAGCAAGCGAGCTGTTGTAACAAATGCCATTGCACCAGCCCTCTGGTCTGTAGTGGAAGCTGAAGAGGCACTGCTTAGCACTTGGTTTAGAAGTGCCTCTAAAGTGTACCAAGTGCTCAGCATGATCTTAAGCGCGCATATTATAGTGAAGGTTGTTTACTAGCAACTTCATTGTACATCTCTATCACAAAATTCAATAAACACGCACTGTTATACAAATTCCTTATTTCAAAAGAAAAAGACAAAAAGCCAACTGCCAGGCGGACTGCCCAGTGCATGCACAGCCGGCACATCGTGCGCGCCCAGAGCCCCCAAACGCCAAACAAAACACAAAAAGTCAAACGCTGCACCTGTCAGGTGCACACATGCATATATACATATATCGTACAAAGACAGAGAAAAGAATATGCATGCATGCAGAAAAGGACGACATGGGTGCACGCAAGTAACTGCATGCTGGTATGCATACAGATGAACGCACACATATAGTCCATACACGAATGCATGCACTGCATGCACGCATGCATGCAGCGCCCTGCGGCTTAATCCTACGGGTAGCCCGAACAGCCGCCTCCAACCCTCTTTGGGGTTACCATCAGTGAGCAACTTTGAAATTCGGTAAAGCAACGACAAAAAAACCAAACAAAGTAAATTAACATATAATGGCAAACCCAAACGAAGACGGCTGGCCCTTATGTTACAACGTCTTCAGCAGAAGCGGAAACTCAGTCTTCTGCAGCGCATGCAAGCATGCATGCATGCATGCATACGTGCATTCATGCATGCATATAGATACATCCTGCCCTTAGGGCCGCGCTAATGCATGCACTCATGAAGCTCCAAGAGACACATCTACCATTTTCCCATTTCTGCTTTGCATGTGCAACAGGAGGTGGCCGTGCAAGCTGTGACCAGCCCCAGGAGTTGCGGGTACAAGTCCTCAGCCCTGTCTTTCCCCCAGCCAAAGTCCAGGTGACCAAAACCCTCAACGACCTGCAAATGAAGCTTCTCCTTCTTTATGCATCGTTTCAAATACTCTGCACTCGCCTCTGCATGCCACCACAAGCGCACAAAACTGGGAGGGCAAGTGGAAAGCAAAGTCGAGCACCAACACATCTTGCTGCTTACCAAGGAACGGCCCTATCCTCCTTTCGCTAATCAACTATCTACCTACCTAGCCATCTACCTAGCTAATTTGTTCTATTGCCAGTTAGCTAGCTTTGTCTTCTGCGTGTGTGCACAAGTAGGCAACTAGCTGACTAAGGAGCTGTACAGGTGGCGAGCTCAACCTCCAGAGTCGGCAGCCTGGACGGGCTGGCTAGCTATCTAAACGGAAAATGTACCGGCTGGGTAGCCGCAGTGGCTAGCCTTCTAGCTAGATGGCCCCCGTGTAGCCGCTGCAGCTGACCTGCTTGCACAAGGTTGTCGTGCGCCCCGAGGAATGCATACAGATGGCTGGTGATACTCTCCAGCGGATAGCGGCCCTGAACGATTTTTATGCCTGGCAGCGCAGCACAGTCCTGTTGCTTCTCGTGCTGTTGCAACTGCTGCTGCTGCCTCTGCTGCTGCTGCTGTTCGTTATGCTGAGGAGTTGTGCTCTCAAGCCGCTCTCCCACCCCCGATGAGCTGGTGAATTCCCCTCCAGGAGGGGTATAGTATGGAGGCGAAGACGCAGACGACGAAGGGGGAGCAGACAAAGAAGACAAAGGCTCGCCGCTGTTCAGCTGCTGCATCCAATGCACAAAATTCTGCCGTGATGTACCGCCTGCAACAACAACAGCAGCACCACCACAACAGCAGAAACACCAGTAGCAGTGCACGACTGGTCCTGGATTCGCTGCGGCCTCTCCCCGACGCCGCATCAGTTTCTCATATGAGTTGAGCATTGCATCATGGCAGAATAGCAATAACAGCACCCACAGCTTCGGCAGCATCAGCGGCAACAGCAGCAACAGCAGGATTTGCGGGTTTACCAGAAGGCGTATGGGCAAAGTTGAGGAAGAGTTGCTGCTGCTGCAGAGGAGTGTTGTAGAAGCGCATGCCCCCCCTCCTCCCTGAGCCCACAATTGCATTGCCTGCTGTACTCAGCAGCCGCTTCGGTATAAACCTAACAAAGAGCTTCAGAGCCTGCAGCAGCAGCGTAGGGTGTTGCATACCTAGTAGCAGCAACACCCGAGCAGAGTACGGTAGCTGCTGCAGCGGCTGCAAAATCAAAGGCGGAGAGAACAGAACTGAACGCTGCAGCAGCAAACCCAAAGAAGGAGAAGAAGAAAGAGCTATCAGCAGCTGCGCAGCCCCTTGCGACTGGCCCACAGCAACCACCCCACAGCCAAACGCGTTCCCTCCGCTGCTGCTTCTGCCACCCGGAGGAGCAGCCAGCATAGCCTCTCGGCGTCTGGCGAGGGTTTGTGAGTGCTGCACTATGTATTGAAGTTGCGCAGGGAGGTCAAAGAAAGCCATATCTTGAAACGACCACAGGCCGGAAGCCAAATCATCCGAAAAAACAAAAGGAGGGCAGCTGCTGCTAAAGCCCCTGCAAATCCGGGGAAGCCACCTCCTGTTGGTGTTGTTGTTGCTGTTGCTGCTGGTGCACTCTTGTGCGCCACAGCCACAGACAGACCGCCTCAAGTCCCTGCGGGGGACACTGGCGTTTCCGCATGCAGATGCAGCAGCATCCGTATGGTGCTGTCTTCCTGCACCGCAGTTACCTGGTGCAGCAGCAGCTCCCACCACCGGCTGCACGTCCTCTTCGTGGCTGTCCATAGCAGTGCATGCGCATGCACCCCCGCAAGAGCAAATATCCCCCACAGTCCCACAGTTGCACAGTGCATGCAGCATACTGTCGTTGCTGAGACATCTAGAAACGCAACCCACGACTGCGGCTGGTGTTGCTGCTGGTGTTGCTGCCGTTCCCTCTGTAACTGCGGCTGCTGTTGGTTGCGGGGGTGTATGTACACTTGCATCGCTCTCCGCGAAAGCTCTACCAGCAGAAGACAATGCGGTCGAAAGTTCAGACTCAGACAGCACCCGCTCGAACTGTTGCTGTTGCTGCTGCCTCGGTTGCTTCGGCCGCTGTTGCTGTTCCTGTTGGTGATTGACGGTAACAAAACCCTCAGGGTTCTGGCCCCCCAAGTGCATGTTCAGCAGCAACGCGGAGGCTTGCATGCACGCATTTTTTAATAGCTGTTTTTGTTGTTCTTGGGGCTTCCCTCGAATGGATGGAAAAGACGTCAGGCCGCTGCAGTGGCAGCACACGAGGGAGCAGCATTCCCCCTCCATATTGTATTGTTGTTGCTGCTGCTGCCGGTGCTGCTGTTCGTCGTGACGTCGCAAGGTTTGCTGCTGCGCCCGAGCTGTGAGAAAGTTTTGCTGTTGCTCCTCAATGAAGGCGTGCAGGGTTGCCAAAGAGTAAGCGGGACGGTTATCGTCTGCCTGCAGCTCAACAGGCGGCCTATCGGACGTATCCTGTTGTTGCTGCTGCTTCTGCAGTTGCTGTTGGCTAGGTGTGCTGAGCTTCCGTGTGTATTCATTTCCTCTGCTATTCACCAGCCAAACCTCACCTCCTCTTTCGGCAACGATGAACGGGAGAGAAAGAAAGCCACCGGTAATCCAGTTCAAAGAGGACTCCAACAGCCCATGCACAAACACAAACACCTGCCCCCTGCAGTCCCCATCCAGACTGCTGCTGTTACTGCTGCTACTTCCCGCCATTGCTGGCGGTGGCCCAGAGTCACATAATTCGTTGGTTGCAGACCTGCTGGCGGGGAAGGCTGCAAATGTTGCTGGTGTGGGTGTGGCTGCTGCTCCTCCTGTTGCTGCTGATGCTGCAGTCCCTCGCAGCACCTCGCACCCACAGCTGTCTATGCAGCAACAACGAGTGACTCTGCGCAGGCGGTAGAAGTGGATCTCGTAACCGTCACCTGTACGCACACTATGTCTTTCGGCTCTGAGTCTGCCCTCGCTTAAAGCGTGCGTATATCGTTCCATTAGGTCTGGACAGAAACGGCGCAGAAGCTGCTGGCGTTGCAGCCGAAGCAGCAGCATCATCATGCTCTGGAGGCTATCGCGCATCAGCACGCTAAACCTGTCTGCCACCCATCCAGCCCCAAACCAATTCACCAGGCCCCCTACAACTCCTCGCAGATCAGTTGACACACATAGAGCTGTTGAATCAGCAGCAGCAGAACTAGTTGCTGCAGCTGCCGCTTCTTCTGCGTCGTCATCCTCCTCATGACTAGCGGCAGCTTGAACTGTGCTCGGCACGGGATCCTGTTGTCCGCAGTCCTCGCAGAACAGGGGGAGGAGCTGCAAGGCTTCCCTAGACGCTGTGCTACGTGAAGGAGAGTTGGAATTGCTAGACACACCTGCAGCAGCAGAAGCTGCAGCAACGGTATCAGAGGCAGCAGCAGCACCTGATGGCATACTGCTCTGGGAGGAAATGCCAGGACAAGACGGAGAAGGCCATAACGCAGCTTCTCCATGCAAAGAGTCCCTCATATCGGCATTCAACGCCAGACCCTGTTGGTCTTGCTGCTGCCTTCCATTCGGCTGCTGTTTTTCATGCTGCTGTTTTTGAACTGGCGGCTGCTCCAGCGGCTGCTGCCGCCTCTTGTTGCGGTGGGCGTTGGGAGGCGCACCATCGGCATCTCCCTCCCTCATTGACGAGCAGAAAAGGGGAATGGATGTTGGAGGAGGGAAATTTGTGCTTGCCTGTGTGTGTGCGATGGGTCAAAACTGGGCGTGTGGCTGAGCAGACTTCAGGGGTTTACAGAACGACATTGGAGGTTTTATCTCTCCTCAGAATGAGGAATAGTACATAATACTCGCTAAGCTGTCATTTCTCCCTGGTCTGAGTGATGCTATTGCAAAAACTGACGGTTTCCGCCGTCGTAAGAAACACTCTAGCAGGAAAGCTGAGTGGATGAGACACTGCGCTTGGGTGCTGTGGTGTGATGCTACTTGTGGGCATTTCAAAGAAAAGAGGCGTTCAATCAGGCCATTTTGGCCACCTGGTGTAAACTAATGCTTGCAAACGCAGGAGGGGGTGAAAGAAGGAACCGAAGGCTGCGACCCAACACAGCCGCTGTGGCTGCCGGTGGACCGATTCTCACGAGCATGCATGGAAGGCATTGGTTGGGTTTCTTTATCCTGAGGAGAAACTGCCTTTGAAATTACAAGTATCTAAGTATTTGTCAATGACTTAATTCATAGAACGTCTCTGAAGGTGGAATAACGAAGCCACAAGAAGGTTGTTTTGAGCCACGTTCAAAAGAGCATCTCGTCACGACCCACAGGAGGATCCGCCATCTTCTAGTGGCGATTTTGCAACATCTTCAGTAATTTCCCACAGTTCGAATCATTGTATTGCAACTGTTTTTGAAGCTGGCGTTTGCTGCCTGGTTGGATGTTGACCTTCATGCAACCCACGGCCGGCGACCGCACGCGTTTCCGCCGCTGCGATCGCCCCAGCCGCCGCTCCTTTTCGTTGTGAGATGAAGTAAGTTGATGCAAAGTATCCCAGCATTTTGAATAAAATGTTTTAAATAAAGCATTTTCAACAGGAATACGGGCTGCCGCGTACAGCCACCTACGTTACACTCTGCAACACGCCTACCAGCCAGAGCTGCACTGCACCCTCTGTGGGACCCAGTGCTCCTTGAGAGTGGCATCTGGTACTTTTTCAGGAGCATCTTATTTAATCATGAATTTCATATTCAACTGGTCCAAAAGCATCAACACTGAAATGGTCACGAGCGCCTTATTTGCCTCACCGCCAGCTGTCGTCTGCGGGGCAGCGAAGAGCAGGATGGGTAGCATAAGGAGAGTCCCTACATTCAAATAAGCAATGTTTCCCAAGTAATGGAAGGCAGTTAAAAGGCTATGATTATGGCGTACGAACACACTCTCATAAATAGGTGAGAGGGACAAGGTAGACGGCCCGTATATTCATTCCTGAGGCGGGGACATGCCGCATGATTTCGAACAACGTAAACTTGCAGATACGTCAAAAGATAGTTTGAGAATGCATTGGTCTGTTTTAAAAGACTGATTGGAGAAGCTATATGTACCTTAATGTGTATGTACCATACGGAAGTGTTATAATGCTGCTCCTGGATCCGACCCAAGGTTTACAATGTGATTTGCAGTGGAGCCAAAATACGCAAGATGCGAGCTACTCAAATGCAGCCTTTACCTGCATTATCCAGACCTCCAGAGCTCAGCTGCTCAAGCTGCTAGAGCTGCGAGAGAGGAGGCGGCGTGCCAAGCGGCCCCATATAGAAGCACAAACAGGCTGTCTTGGCTGTATGTAGAGTGCCCACTTCAAACAGACTTGACAACGTCGCACAGGCTATGATAAAAGTGCAGAGAACAGCTCTCAGTATACGTTTATGTATAGTTTGCGTATTTGTAAATCTTATATACCGTTTGTTTATTCAAAATCGGATACTACTGGTCCTTTTCAACTGCTTGAACAATGGGAACTGAATGTGCTGTGCGTATTGCCTTCAATTCAAAAACTCCTTTCGATTAGCAGATTCAACAAATGCTGTGCTTCGTTGGTAGAGTCATTCAATAGACGTTTCATCAAATGAGTACAAGTCCACGATTTTCTTTGGTTTGCTGTACTTAAAATTTGCATTATTGAATATAGTGGGTAAAAGACTAGAGTCGAAAGAATTATCTGCAGGAAGCGACGTCTCTGATAAGTCGTCAAATCTGGATATTTTGTTAAAACCGGTGTATCTTGGTCAAACTGGATATAGGACTGTGTGAAACAAGAAGGTCCTAGGCAGTGTTAGCGGTTCAAGAACTATTTTTCGATGCTTACTGCGTGTTATAATTGGATGGTGTTGCAAAGTTGTCTGCCTCTTTCGGACGGAGGCCATTCATCTGCTTGAGTGCAAGTAAACAGGAGGGCGAACATGGATGAAGCAACACAGGCGAAGAGACATGAGCACAAGTGAAGACATACCTCAAAAGAAACAACACTAATTGTGCGTTGTAATCACTTTAGGCATATAGCGCTCTCCAGGTAAAGTAGGAGCAAGAGCCTCGGAAGCCGCAGGGGTGCGGTTGCAGCACCGTTGGCTGCAGATCCGTGCGCTGAGGCACCACCACACGTATGTACCTGTTAGGTCCTTTCGTTCTGAAGAAATGCATAGCAAATGAAGCTATGCGCACATGGTGAGAGAAGCGCATTCCTCAATGAAACACCAGGCGATCCAGAGCCGCCATTTGCACACGGAAATTTTATCCATATCGCCTTCGCATAATCTCAGCAAAGCCATTCGACAAAATTCTCAAATTTACGGGTATATTTTTGTGGGCAAGGGGTGATATGAAATCAAAGTTTCAGTGGAGAACAGTAAGGGGACCGTTGGCTGTGGTGCAAGACACCGGTTCATTCTGGCCTTGCATACCGACTGGCAGCAGTCTCCGATGTGCCAAACTAGTAAAAGCACTTATAGCACACTCAGCGAAATTATATCTAGCCATGGCAAATATATAGCGTGTGTAGCACAACAAGACAACACGAGAATTGCAGACCACGCACACAAGGCTGCCGACGCGCCCCTGTGGGAAACCTGCAGCGGCTGCCACTGTCAAAAACATGACCAGGCTCATGAATCCCTCAAAGTACTGAGTTTACTAATGTTTTCCTTTTTAACATCCTGAATAATTCGTCTTTTCGTCTTTTTTGCTGGATCCTCTAAAGGTATTAGGCATCGTCCGCTGCTTTGCGTCTTGTCCCGCTTGTGGGTTGTGCAAATTTCAGGGCGGCTGATGGAGACTCTTTCATTCCTTCAACTTATATACGTTCCTTTCTTACTTCTTTCCACACTCTTAGAGTAACAGTCCCCCCCATGCAAGCTGCTCGACATGCTGTTTTTACATGGCTTCGAGACCACCTGCCTGCAGGTCACCTCACGGATATTGGCTACAGAGATTCTGCGGTTTAAAAGCATGTGCTTCGCCCGTGGTGAGCTCCATATTCCTCTTGCGTAGCAAAACATTTGTTTTCTAATATGTGAGGTCGTCACGAATCTGCCCATATTTTTGTCGACCTTCACCGGAAATAATCCCAACTCGATAAGCAACACCACACCGCAGCCGAAACTTTTGCCGGGAGACCCATACACAAGCACGATCAGGGGTCACCAAGGCCCCTGTAGTAATATGGAGCCCTTAGAGGCTCCACATAGCGGGGCTTCTAACAGTGGAGTCCTGCAGATAGAAGGAAATGAAGCCTCAGCTGATCTTCAACCTTCACACACCGTCAATATGAATGAGCAGCGAGGCAGTTATCGCAGTGATACGGGTGCAGCGAATACCCCAAAAGGTAGATTTCATCGACGGGTGGGAAAAAAAAGCAAAGCAAAGGGAGAACCGCCCCTGCAGACAGTGGAATGGATTGACTTGCACAATCAGAACCGCGTCATCCGGCTGGTCCCTGCCGCCGAAATCCTGCCTGCAGCAGCTCCAGAGAGGGAAATCAAAAGCCCGGGCATTGATTCGCCCGAAGATGATGTTGGGGAGAAGAAAGAGGGAACCGATAAGGAAGCAACTACCCTCCCGACACCTAAAGACCTCTGTGTGCGAATCCCCTTCTCACATCGCTGCGTAGTCGTGTACACAGAACATTCGCATTCAACTGCCAACAGCTGTTCATGGCCTCCGAAATATGGAGCTTCACTTCCATGGCAGCAGCGGCTGTTTTGCTGCTTCAGAAGAGCCGATGGTGTGGGGGAGACCCGAGAGAGTAGTGCGGCGTACAGCTACATGTGCGGCCACATCTTGCAGGAGGCTGCCTGGCGTATTAGCGAGGCAACCGGTCTAACAGTTGACCCATTTGCCGACGAAGGCCATCAAAATTTGCCCGCTCTGTTGTTTCTCTCTGCCAGCAGCTCAGTGGACACCAACAAACGTGGATCCTCCTCCTTCAGGGATCCAGAGGCAGCCAAGGCGGCATTGCTTCAGAGCACCAAAGTAGCGCTTTTGCTTGAATACTACGAGAGGTTACTCGCCGCAGAAACAATGCAGTTAGTCCCTAAAGGGGGCCGCAGCTGCCCCCCGTTTGCTGCTTCTGATGCTTCTTCGGATGATCTACTGAGCTTGAAGCCTTCCTCGCGTTTTCCACGCTCTCTGCTCTCGACGCCTTTCTTCAGTTGTCTGCCCATTGCGCCCTGGCACTTGTGGTGGCCAAAAGAATCGCTGGACCCGGAGCACCGCTGCTCCTTTCGGGTGTCTGTACAGCTGCTGCACGTTTCGCTGTCTGACTGCCACTTGTTCCGCGAGGAAGACCTGTTGGCACAGAAACTGCTAAGTGCGTACGAGGTGTACGCATACCTTGCTCGCTGCTCCAGCGGCGAGCAACTGGCAGCCAAACTTCGCAGTTGTATCCAGTACACGAAGGAAATGCGAGAGAGCTGCGGCCTCCCTCGGGAACTGCAACCCTTGTTGCAAGCTGCTGCTGCTGCCGTCGCCGCGTACAGGCGGGACCAACCGCCGGATGTACAACAAGCTCTGCTGCTGCAAAGTCTTCAGCAAATGCAGCAGCTTCCCCACCAGGTGCAGCAACTCACGGGGTGGCTGTGCATCTTGAAAGCGGAATATCCACAGGTGCGCCCTTGTAACTCCAGCGGCAGCTGCTGCATGAGCTAGATTGGCTACAGCAGCAACAACGGCACAACATTCATACTCATCAGGTAACCCTGTCTACGTTTTGCTCGCCTATTTATACCCTCCCTGGGAGACTGCTCTGCTTGTGAGCGGTTAACATCTATTTATATTCCCCAATGGCAGAAGGAAGGAAGGATATAATGGCCTTTCCCAGGCACAGGGCAAGCAGAGCAAACCACCAACTGTGCGCCTCGTATTGCTGCGCTGCAGCTGTGGAAGCAGTGGCTTGGTCATCTGCAGCAAAGACGCTTGTTGCGGCTGCAGAGGGATCAGCAGCGTCAGCAGTTTGCTGCTGCTGGAGAAGCCATCGAGAAGCTTTGGCAGCAGCTGCAGCGCCAGAGGGACTTGCAGCAGTTCGACTGCACCGGCCTCCAACTGCAGCTGCTGCTCCTCTCGTACGAAGGCGAAATGGCAGCGTCTTATCATTTTCTGTTTTTCCTTTCAATCTCCCGGTTCCTTCCACTACCTGGTCCCTCTTCTAGTGCAGCCCAAATATATAAGGCCCATTGTGGTTGGTGCTGTTGCTGATATTTTGGTTCCTTGTGCATGCAGCAAGGAAGAGGAGACTGAGCGGCAACAGCTTGGCGAGGAGATAGCAGCAGAAGTAGAAGAGTTGTTGACTTATGCTGTTGATACAGCGCCTCCGCAGCAGCTTCCTCCCTTTGACTTTCCGGGTGTATATACAGCAATTTTACACAAACTTTTCGCCTCGTGCACGCCTCTTCCAGGAAACCCTGTTCGTTTGCTACTGCTGTCCTCTAAAGTAAGTAGACCGATAGACCGGACGGCAGGCAAATAATCAAAAGACAGAACCACCAACAATAAGGGGCAGCACTCGATCCTTAAGTAAAAACAAGAACACGCACCGGAGAGCCAACACCAATTGTTCCGAAGCAATTACAAAGGCTTCTCAGCTTCTCCTTCTCCCCTTTACATATTACAAAGCTTATGGTGGACAGCAACTGCCCCTGAGGTTGCTTCAGCTGGTGGCTGCATCCTATTCGTCAGAAGAGGCAGAATGCTGCAACTCCTCATAGGAATCAACTAACACCGGGGGTTATGCCCTGCATGCGTACAGGAACACCACGAGACAGGAGAGGGCATGGATGCCCCTGCATCCTCATCAGCAGCTACAGCAGAAGAATCAGCTTCTGTGGAGGGGGGAGGTGCAGCACCATCAGCAGTAGGAACATCAAGCAACGATCGGCCTTTACCCCTGCAGGAACAGCTGCGTCGGTGTCTATGCAGCGCACTGACAGCCACTGTGGGCTGCCGAGTTAACGAGCGATCTGCTGGGGGCCAGAAGCATTTGCCACTACATTTTCCCTTTTTCTCAACTGCTGCTGCCTTCCCTATTGCTTCCCCCGTGCCTCCTGAGAACCTGCCGCTGCAGTACAGGCAGCAGCTGCTACAGCAGCAGCAACAAACACACCAGGTGCTCGCTTCTTTTCACGCTATCCTCAACGAACCTCTCGACTCTGTTGCGCTCCATGTCGGCTTCAATCATCCCGGTATGCTGCAATAAGATCAGCAGAGCCATTCGCTTTTTCTTGTTGTGTATTGCTATTGTTCTTGCTCTTTTCCTCCTTGTTCTTCGTACAGCTGTTCCGTTCTGATTCGCCTTCGTTTTCATTTGTTTTCTTCCTTATCTATCTTTCTGCGCTTCTTACCTTTGTGTACTTGCAAAGACACTTCACGGAGACTGGAAGACAGCTTAGAGTCTGCCCGTTACCTTGAAGTGCCTACGTCTTGCTCATTATACTGTATACTTGAACGATGTATGCATGCGTCTGCCAGTGTATGCGCCCCAGGTCTTCTTAAGCCTATTGAGGCTCTTGTGGCTGTACCCTTGCCGCCTCAGCTATCTGCTATGAGGAGGGAGTTCCTCCGCAGAAATTCCATGGCCGGAGAACCTTCGAGTGCCTACCATCCCTCCCCTGTGTCATTCTGCGTAGACCTACCCTTCAGCACCTTTAGCACCAGCATCCACCAGCAGCAACATCAGCAGCAGGAGGCAGACGCAACAGACATTGAAGCTGCCAGAGCCTACCCTGTGCAAGGTGGTTCCATAAACTCTTTACAGGAACCTCGAGAGCCCTCCATTCGGCCTCTGCCGTCCTTTCTATCACCGGCGGCATCTGCAGCCAGACACAGGCTGCTGCAGCAGCAGCTGCATCAGCAGCCTCTGCTCACTACTCCCGCTTGGGGAGACCCTGTAGAAGCAGATCATGCAGCTTGGGATCTAGACAGGGTCTCCGCGGCAGCTGCGCAGGTGACCGCAGGGCAACGCGGCCGTTCTGTGGTTGTTTCAGCTGCTGGTGGTGCTCGTGCTTCCTCTGTTGCCGGTGTCTCAGAGACAGTTGCTGCTGCGGCTGAGTGGCGTACAACGGCTGCAGCTCCAGGAGGTACAACTGATATTACTGCAGCAGCCTCTCGAAAGACTCCCTTTTCCTCTGCAGCTTCACGGCTGCGCACTGCCCTATCTCGGTTTCCCAATAAGGGCAATAGAAGCCTGCATGCCCCAGAAGCAGCGGCAACAGCAGCAGCACCAGCAGACGGAACTCCAACTAATCACTATATCGATGCCTCTTCTGCGGCAGCACCAGGTGCAGCTGATCCTGCAGGGGCGGTGGAGGAGGCAGTCTCAGCAGCACCGCCGTCTTATTTGCAGGAGGTCCAGCACACTGCCTCTCCCCCAAAAGAAGGCTCAGAAGAGCGGAAGGATGGGCCTTTATCTCCTTCTGTTTCCTTTCGCCTCGAATCAACTACTCTTAAAGGAATTAAAACAGGAACAGAAATAGAAGAAAATGCTGCGAGTGCCATTTATGAGACCTCTTTGGCTTCTATACAACCCTTCGAGTGGGCCTTTTGACCCCAGTCGCATTCTGCCTGCCTTCCAGAGAGCGCACGTACACGCATGCATTCACGCTTAGCAGTTTGCTTGTTCTTACTGCTGCTCTAGCGGCCGCTACTGCAGTAGTGCACTCTTCCTGCCGGATCACTGTCTGTGAATGCAACCTTGCTTTGCTGGACTTTTCGTCTTATCGTGGTTTTCTCCTTTAGATGGTTAGGCGGGCCTGTGGTAGTGCTATTTGCTGCTGCAGGAATTGTTGGCATCTTTCGGGCTGCTTGAAGATTTGTCTTGTGGTTGCACCTCTGCCTCGAGAGCATGTACCTCCGTCCAGCCCCAAATCAGCCGGTAACGCCAAAAGAGCCTCTGCCATCTGTGCCAGCAGTTGTATTGTTCTTTTTCTTTTGTACTCCGGAATATCAGCCCCACTAGTGGGGCTGGGTTTTGTTGCGTTCCTTGGTTGCAGTGTGCTGCAAGGCTGTTGGATTCTTTTTGCATGTGGTCCGCTGTCCTGGTTTCTGCTGCATTCAACTGACATCGAAAGCAGCTAGGTTAAGCAGCGCTGAATTTCTACAAAATGCTATTTGGAACAGATACACGCTCCATCTTCGTAGAAATTAAGCTCGGCCATGTGTTGTGCAGGCAAAGAATGGGTGGGAATACAGCAGGCCAAAATCGAAAGCACATTGCAGCAGCCGGTGGACGCGGTGTACATACGCCGCAGGCTGCCATCTCCTGAGGAGGCTATGCTGCAGCCCCAGTTTAGTTCTTCAGTTGGGCTGCACTTCCAGGGGCCTCCGGGAGGGGGGGGCCCTGGGGAGGAAGGGGGGTCCTCCCCTCCAGCTCTCGCAGCTCTAGCACACCAGGCCCAGGCCAGCATGCAGCTTTATCCTTATTCTCAGATCCGCAAAGCCTTCAGACTTAGCCTTAGGTTGCAGCAACTGCATGCAAAGACGCCGCAACAGCCAATAGCGGCTACCGATTGGGAGGCCCTCCTGTACACTGTCTGCGGAAGCAGCATGCCCCAAGATGCCACAGAAGATAAAGCCCAACCTCCAGCACAAGAAAGAAGCAGCAATCAAATGAATTCAAGGGAGCCCAAGCAACCAACTTTGGTGGGCTGCTGCGTGATTCTACCGTATGCACAAACGGCTGCACTGGGGTTTACATTTCCATGTGCATGCATGCGCCGTCCGTGACACCTGAGGAAACACTCATGCGGCGTCTCAGTGTCCTTGATATGCCCTAAACCGGGAGCCTCCTCACTGTCTCTCTTTGCTGCAGCGGGGTTACTACGAGCGGCGACTCCGCTATTATTTGTTGAATAACGTTGAGACAGCAGCAGCAGCAGGGCGACTACTGCTCCCTTGGCCTGAGGAGGATGCAGCTGCTGCATGCCGAGGGATCCTTTCTGAATCCCAAGGCGTCACGAGTCAGCCTGATGGTCTAGCGGCCACATCAGGCAGACGACTTCTGGTTTCAGTATCGCAGGGACAGCAGCAACAACAGCAACAGCAGGAGGCCCTGCTCGATGGGACTGGGTCTGACTGTCGTCTGCTTCGGCAGCAGCAGCGCGCATGCATCCCCTACAGCGCTATTGTTCGGGAGCCAAAAGCTTCGGAGTTTTTCCGTCTGCTGCGATGTCAAGGTATGCTTTCCTTGTGCACCGGCTGGCATTTATGTCGCTACAGGATGCAGGTGCTTCTCCCTTTGGCCCTACAGCGGGAGCTGCAACAGAAAGAAAAAAAGAAGAGGGCGACCCGCAGGTCGTATCTCTGGGAGCGCGACCCTCCAAAGCTCCAAAACCAAAAGAAGGGCAAACAGTTTAATAATAGTGCACAAGTCCGAGCTTTTGTAGGTTTTCAAACCCTGACACAACCCCTAGATCGATATGGCGGGTTGGTGCTAGTTCCTAGCAGTTCCTGCGGGTGCAGTGGCTGTCGGTGGTGGTGCTGCTGCATGTACTGCTGCTGCCTTTGGCGTTGTTCTTGCTGTTTGTGTTACCGCTGCTGTTGTTCATGCTTCCGCTGCCACCACGGCTGGAGACTTGGCTGCCAGCAGCGGCCTGACATCTTAGAAACGTGCTGCAATCTTTGGGTTTCCGGATGGACGGTTTAGGTTTTAGACTGCAGTGTTTTTGCAGGTGCGTGGCCTGTTCAATGTGCCGCTGAGGCGACTGCCTGCTGGCCCCGAGGAGCTGCACGCACGTTGCCGGCTCGGTTGCGCAGAAGGAATTCGGGTTCGAGGTTTGGAGGGTTTTCAGGTGTACGAAACACCGCATCCGCAGACGTCGTTCTTTCCGGCAGAAAGCAACAAACCCAACCTCAGTAGAGGAGAATCCCCTTGCCACCTTCTGCAGCTCAGCCGCTCCTTCGTTCAAATTCAGCTGCTACTGCCAGACCTCCGCATACACCTCACAGCAAACACGAAGGCGGTTCAGGGAGAAAACCCCCACATCAACCAGGTCTAACCCTAAACCCCTTACAGTAACCCCCACGAGTTGACCACTCGCACGCTACCCTTCAGTCCTATCTCTAAACCGGGACCCTAAACCCTAAACACTGATTATTGGTTGTTGCTCGGATGCAGGCGCTGAGCCTGACGCTGCCAGAAGCGGCTGCATTGGATGTTGGAGTCCTGCAGCGTCAGCGGGGAATTTTGAGAGTTTCTGTCTTCGACGAATTTCTGCAACAACCCAACACCAACAACCCCTACACACCCTGGGATTTTCCTGAACCCTCAGAAACGACAAACCCTAAAGTACTGCTCGGGTCTCTCCAACTCCCGTGGAGCTCTGTTGTTTCCTCTGCAGCAAAGGCTGCAGCAAAAGGAGTTGAGCCTGCTGCTGCGGCCAATCGCCGCCATCCGCAAACAGACCGCCACCATCAGCAGCAGCAGAAGTTGTTTCATGAAATCCTTGATGTTGCTGCTGACGGCACTTGCTGTCTTTGCCTTTTAAACGGTTGCTTCCGCCTGCAGCAGCCCAAAGGCCTTCTCACCCATATCCACCTTTCCCGGCCCCGCACACCCAACATACCCACAGGTTTCCTGCTGCAGATGCATCAGCAGCAACAGCTGCAAGGGCCGGTGCTGCTGCAGCATTTCGCAGCAACTCCTTTTGACTTGTTCGTGTCTCTTAAACTGGAAATACGAGGGCCTGTCAGAGCTATCTGCGGCAGCATACCCCGCACGTTAATGCCTGAAGAGATATGGAAGAAGCTGGAAGCGGAGAAAAAGGAGGAAGAACAACGTCTAAAGCAGGACCTGCAACAGCAGCAGGTGCAGCAGCGGCAGGCGCAGCAGGCGACACCGCCGGAGCAGCCCGCGGATGAGGATGGGCCGGATCTATGCCAGCAGCCGGAGCAGCACCTTGAGCAGCAGAAGCTGCTACAGATGCAGCCTGGGAAGGAGTGGGGGGAAGATAAAGGTTTGATTGATGCTGACAAGGAGTGGAGGCAGAAAGTGCGGAGGAAAGGAGTCTACGGGCAGCTGTCTTCCATAGGCGAGTTGAATCGTCGGGTGCAGCTGCATTATAGCTGCATGCTGCGACACGCACAACAGCAGAACAGAAGAGCCCAGAACACTAGCTTGATTGCATTTCTCTCTGTGTGTGTGCCTGTCTGTCTTTCTGTCCGTCTCTGTCTGTCGAATTTCAGGTCGGTCGGCAGCCGACACTGCAGGCCGACCTGAAATTCTTCTTAGATTGTTCTTGTTTCAACAATGTCGGGGCCGAATCCGTTCTTCTAATTGGCCTACGGATGCCTCTCAAGTCCTACTTTGATACAGTTTGTTGCTTCTCTTCCCATGTTTTGCTTCAGGCATGGACAGCTTCGGGTGTCTGCGTTTACTTTGCCGTCTGCTATCTCCACTGCTGCCTCCTCCTTCTGTTACTGAACCCTTCGAGCCCTTTTGCTTCGAGAAAACGGCTGCATTTGTTTCTTTGCTGCCGGTGGTTGACGCAAAACAAGTCTTCAAAGGCAAGGCTAGGAGGAACACGCACACACACACACACACACACACACACACACACACACACACACTCAGAGAGAGAGAGTGAGTATGCTGCTGGTGGTACCCCTGGTGGGTGGCAGCGGCGGCTGTTACTGCTGCTACTGCTGTATCTGGCGATGCATTGCGATTGCTGTTGTTGCTACTTCCTGTGGATAGCTTAAGCTGCTCCTGTTGCTGTCCGTCTGTCGCTAATTGCTGGTGGACCTGCTGCTGTCTGTGGTTTGCTTGGTCTGCTTGTTGGTTTCTTTTGTGTTTCTTTCTGCAGTGTACTTGACATTTGTTTGATGTGTCTTTCTTTCTGCACAGTCCCACTAGTTTGTCTATTGTGTTCATCCACCTCAATTTTGCTTTTTTCTGCTTTTTAGGGGTATGTTTGCCTTCACTGTCCTTTGCGTGCATTTGCTGCTGCTGCTGCAGAAGAAGTTCCTGTCTGGTTGACAGCACAGCAGCTGCTTCAGGTTGGCTGCAGTTCTCCTCAGGGGCATTCTTTGCTGCTTTGTTCCTTCTTCAACGGGCTGGACAACTGCATGCAGACGCAGGCCTTGTCATTCGTTGCGGTTGGTAGGAACAGACCCTGCTTTTGTTTTTATTTGCTTGTCTGTCTGCTTAGTGGACTGATGAATTGTTTCTATCTACTAGCTTGCATGTGGTTGTTAGTTTACTTCTGCCTGTTTCCCTTCCATTTGTTGCAACAGCGTCGGCTCTTTGTTCGTTCACCGAGTGCGTTTTGTAATTTATTAGTGCGTTTACCTGCTTCCGTCTTTTTCTTTCTTGCCTGTCTGTTTTTCCTTTTGCCCGTTTAGTCTGTGATTTTTTCTTTGCACTCTTTTCCTCGTTTTGTTTTTGAGTGGTTGGGTGGTCGGGTAGCTGCTTTACCTGTTGCTGTGGCTGCTGCTGGCTCGTGTACTGTTGTTTCTGTTGATACAGCTACTGCTGCTGCTGCTTATTGTGCAGCGGCAGCAAAGGACATCAACATGAGCATCAGTAGTTTGGTTGTTATTTGTAGCCCAGTTTGACTTGATGGGCGTAGTTCGCCGTTGTGGATTTACGTTGTTATGACTGTACGTTGATTATTCTGTCAGCTGGTTATTAATCGTTTTAAACTTCTTCACTTTTGATGCGCAGGAGATGTGGTGGGGCGGGGCGAGCAGTACTTCGTTTTGCGGCTGTCTCCGTCAGCGGCAGCACAGCTTTGGGATCCGCTGACAGGGGAGGTTTTGAACCTCAGCAGCAGCAACTTGACGACTTCCCCCTCTGCTCTTCCTCCGGAACAGCAACAGCAGCAGCTGCTGCTGCAACTGCAGCGCTGGACCGAGGAGCTAGAGGTGCTGGCAGCCCTCAAGCATTCAAACGCTGAGGCCCATGCACTACAACAGCAGCTTGCTGCTGTCCTTCCGCTTGCAGAGGCCTTTGCAGCGGCGCAGCACCGCAGCCTGCAGGATCTGCAACAGGAGCAGCAGCAGCAGCAGTGGTTGGGGCAGATGGCTACAGACGAGCAGCTGGAAGGTGAAGCCGTAGTGAATAAGGTGCTGCTGCTCGAGGCAGGCCTGGCTGAGGTGCAGCAGAAAATGGGTTTGCTGCTGCAACGTTGGCAACAATTGCATGCAGCAGCAGACCTCCCTTTTCCCTTCTTGCTTGGTGGCAGGCAACAACAAAACAGAGAAGGGGTTTGGCCAATCTCTTCCCTATCTTTGCTCGTTGGCATGCAAAATGCATACATCAACTTGCAGCCCATGCGGTGTCTCAATAGCTGGGAGACCCCCACAAGTGCCCGTGCAGCAGCAGCTGCTGCTGCTGCAGGAACAACTGGAGGTTTCACGCCTGAACTTTCTGTTGATGGAATAACGGAAGAAGAAGGCATAAGGAAACGCGTGCAGGAGAAACTGCAGCAGAAACGCAAACGGAGGTGTTTTGGAGTGCCAGCCCTCATTGAAGCTGCCAGAAATCTTCTAAAAGAATCGGATACTTCCACTACTTGGATTCGGCTGTCTCTTAGCTGCCTCGCTTTGCTTTCCTGCGGCAGGTAACAACATGAGCATGCAACATACAAACAAAACATAGGAACACATGAACAAGTAAAATGAACAAACGAATAATAAATACCCGAATAAACAAATAAACAATTGAACAAACCAACCAGCAAACAAACAAGCAACCGGCGAGCAAACACACGAAGAAGCAGAGATGCAGACAGACAAAACTTCAAACGCCAATCAAACAGACAAACAAACAAACAAAAATGCAAAAGAAAGAAGTAAAACATAAAACGCGTAGCATCTACGCTTTAGTCTATACAAAACAACTCCCGAAAAATCCGCACAGTCCCACAGTAACAATTAGCATATATCCAACAAAAAGTGGACTTAGATAGATATACAATATACATATGCAAGCAGTATACATATACCTCAATAACTGTATAAATCTATCTGTGTATATTTGTAAGCATTTAAACAACTGTAGAATCCAGCACACGTGCATGGATCCTCAAAGCATGCAGTGGATTGTTAAGGTAACGATGCATGCTTTTGGTGCTTGGCTGTCTTTCTGTCCCTCTGTCTGTCTGTGTTTGTCTACCCGTTTGCTTCACGTTACTTCTGTAATGTTCGGTGTAACACAACAACGTGATCTGATGCAGCAAGATTTAAGTAACGAGCAAGCGGCAGACAAAACACTGCCACCAGCAAACGAGCAGCAGCCGCTGTTTTATTCCTTAGGCGGAGGCGTGGTGGGCTGCCCTGTACCCTGTCTGGCTGTAAATTTGAACTTAACAACAAAACGCAGTGGGCAACCTTCTTGCCAGAACCAGTGAGAAGGCTACGTGCTGCTGCTGTGGCTGCTGCTCCTGTTGCTGCTGATGATGAAAGTGATCTTGCCAAAATCCGCAGGATGACCACTCCTTGCTTTTGGTGGTGCTGCTGTTATCGCTGCTGCTGGTGTTAGAGGTTCTGTTTCTGCTGGTGCTTCCAGCTGCAGCTGTCACGGTGCGACACCGGCCAGGCTCTGCAGATTCACCTCCGTCAACAGGAGTTTGATGAACAATACAGATGCCCATTTTGTGAATGCATCTTCATTATGCTGTTGCTTAGGTTCTACTTGAGGAAGGCCAAAGAAGAGAGGCAACAACCGCCTATGAAAGCACTTTTATATCAACGGGGGGGCTCCAACCCCAAGGTACACCCGCGGCAGCAGCTGCTGCAGCTGCAAAAGCCGCTCAGGTGATGGGACTGACCGGTGAAGATGCCAAACGAGCGGCTTTACTACCACCCATAGGTGACGATACAGCTGCGCATCTGTCTCTGAACCTGTTTGTTCCTTTTGTAGATGTTTCAAATTGGTGTTTTGATTTGTTTTGTGTTTTGCCCTGTTTGGTGTTGCTGCTGCAGGATGGGTCCGTCCATTACCGCAGGCGCTGGACATCACCGAAGCGGACCCTCGCACAACCGCTGGGTTGGAGCAGCAGCTGCAAAGATCTCTTCAGCAGCTTATAAGAAATTGCTACAGTAGCAGCAGCATAAGAAAAAGCGCCAGCAGCGTCTCCGACTGTGCCAGGAGAGAGTCCGGTGTAGAGGGCCCCCAAGTTGCTGGGGGAGCAGCAGGCCTTGACACGGACGCCAGTGCAAGTCCGGGTGAAGAAGTCGTGCAGTGTATTGCATTTGCGGAGGAGCCAGTAGCTGGGGTGTACGAGGTGTTGCGGCTATACGAGGAGGTCAGGTGTACGTGCACTTGGTTTTCTCTGGCCTTCCCGTCTTCCCTGGGGAGGCAAGACCCAGGAGACAGCGGGTTGTTTGTAGCCAGTTCCACGAATAGCAACGCGCATGCAGCCAATCCCCCTGCCTTTCTAACATGCAAGCAGCACCTTGAGGAGGCTCTGCTAGAGGCCGTTTCTGCGGCATTCCCTGGAAGGCAGCTGCAGGGCATTGTCCTACACTTCAAGGAACTGAACCCGCACAAGCTGCTCGAACAAGTGCTGCACGCACAGGTATTTGGGCCTGTACCGCAGCGCTCTGCATGCACCAACAGCATACGAGTAAATAGCCGAGTTGGCTGTCTCGTTTTGAGGCTTTTTGCCTTCCCTTGTGGGCTTTACAGCGGCTGGCTGTTTGCCGGCACCATTGACTGATCTTGTCCTTTTGCAGCACTCCTTGTCTTCGGGTTTATGTTTGCTTCAATTAAGTACTCAAACGCCAACCTCGTCCCAACCAACCTTCGTCTTCAGCTGCCTTGTATACAAACATGATGCCGATGTATTTCTACATGTTTTCCTCCTGCTTCTTCATTTCACAGTTACTCTTTTCAGTCCCTTCAGTCGGTGCCTGCTGACCAAAGTTGTCTTCTCTTGTGCAACCAGCAAGCACGCAAGCAAGAACTGAAAATATCTCTCCCCTATGTCGCGAATTAGGCAGACCTCTATGAGTAGTTCAAGGCTGATATGCATGTACACGCAGGTGTATCCAACAATTTCAGTCTGTGGTGCAGCAGCTGCTGCATCAGACACCAGCAGCTACCGTAGATTCATGCGCGTGTCTTGATGGGCATTGTAGCCCCTGTGCTTCTGCTTATTCAAGGGGAGTTTGGCCAACCCTAAACTCTAGACCAGTGAAATGCTTCGCTAAAACCTAGACCGTAACCTAGCTATGTTGCCGTCTCGCTGCTTCTTCAGCAACCCCCCTCCTTTCAACCGCGTCAAAAAAAACGGATATCTGTATCCTATTCGCGGCATCAATTTGTTTATTCCTTTATGTGACATCTCTCTTAATAAACCCATCCCCCAAATGAGGCCTGAGCACCAAGCTTGTTCCTGTCTACTGAGGCTGCTTTCATGGATATGCCACACACCGGCATGCTTTTATCCATATACCAGCTTTTTTTACTGTGGAGTTTATACATTTTGCCTTTGTATTTTACTTGCGTGTGGTACTCTTTCGAGAGTTGCCCTAGGTGTGTTCATCAACGCCCATCAAGTAGGCTGCCCCACTTGTGTCTGTCAGCGGATGCGGAGAGCCCTCCCGAGAAAATTACGCAAGCTCGCCTGATTGGCGGCTAATATTGAGCAAATGCCGTGCTACGAAAGCTGCATGGGGTGCTGGGACGCAAAGGGTTGTCTTAACGCTGCCACGATCATAGTCATGCTAATGATGAGGGCTAGACTCTCAAAGTACGAAGATGCGGTTTACAAAATAAGGGTATGTAAACAGAAAAAGAGGAGTTCAGTCGGCAAAGGGGGTTTGCGGTGCCCCGAGTCTGAAGAGGAGATTGGAGTGTTTGGTTTTGGGTTGGTAGAAGAGGGAGTCGAATTTGGAGCTGACTTTGGTGTATATGAAAAAACAAACAACCCCCATGAGGGTGATGGTCCAGCCTTGCACGTAGATCAAGAGGTAGCGGTACAGATCGCTGCTCTCGCTTAGGCTGTCATGAAAAGAATCTGGCGAGACTACATCATCTCCTAAACATCTATCTAAGGGCGCTTCATTCCAGTCAACTGCTTTTCCTTCTCGTAAGTTCGCGTAGGCACGACACACAGATAGGTCCTGAAAAGAACAGTCTGTAGACCCTTCCTTTGGCGTAAAAGACAAAAATTTCTGAGCCAACAACTCGTCACCATCATTGCAAGTAGTCACCAAGCCCGACTCCGCATTCTGCTGGTTTTGCTCTGCAGCATCAGAAACACAAACCAGCGCCGTACAATGTGAGCACGCGACGGCAACACGCCCCAAATAACGACATGATGTATGAATGATTTGTTCGCCGAAAAAGGAATGTAAGCAATGACTTTCCGATTAATGAAGTGGAACAGATGGATGAAGCAATGAAAATGTCAACAATTAAACACAGAATCAATTACTTAACTAATTGTCCAACTAACTAGTTTCTGAGAAGGTGAATACAGCGCTACGATGTGTCTGTTTCATTACCTGTACTGAGGCACTTGACGTTTCCTTTATACCAAAGTCTGCAGTTATCAACCGCTACGATGGCCTGCGCGTTCCACCTGCGGCTGCACCAGTCATTTGGCGCTGCGAAAATCCAAACGGTGTTGATGAATGAGACAATAAGCCAGCAGTCTGCAAGAATGGCGACCACCCAGGGCCCCCACTTGCTCATAAAACCTAGTCTGCTGATCCACTTGCCTAAACTCATGAACTCAGCAATTGAGAAATTGCCAAACATGTCTAAAATACGAGACATCATAATGCACAAGATACCTGTTGTGCTCATGATGCAAATCATAATAATGAAGTTCACACCGATCAGTGAGATCGCCTGTTCGCCGCAGCGGTAGTTCTTGAAGAAACTCAAGCTTTTAATTAACAGATACAATACCAACGTCATTAGGGTACCAAATACTGCTACAGCTGTCAGCAAACGATAAAAGAAAGCTAAGCGCCACGAGTATCTCCGACGCATCCAGTTGAAACGAATCGACTGATAGCGCTTGCAACAAAAACATAAAAAGGGTGAACAACAACCCAGCGACTTGTCGCTAATTCCGCAATACTTCACCTCCATTTTCTGTCTTTTTCAGTTTGCAACAACTCACAAACAAGCGACACATCTTCCTGGGGTTGCTGCTGCGGCTGCTGCGCCGTGAGCCGCAGTTAGTTCTTCAACACCATTGTAAGCGGGACGACGAGAACGGGAAAACATGAATTTCCCCCAGATAATATATTGAAATCCGACAAAAGGGGAAGATGAGATGAGGGGGGGAGCGGGTAACTACCGGGCGCCTCGGAAACCGATGAACCAATGGTGCCCCCTTACCAGCGTCTGTGATCAAGTGTTGAAGCGCTTCGCGTCTGTCTGCATCCAGAAAGCTTTTAAATGAGTAAAGGAAGTACCTTGTGTATAATTAGAAAAAGGAGAATTGAAATAATTCGGTGGCAATTTCAAATTCCTCGAAAACGTCCCGCATAGCCAGAGAAGGCACTCCGCCATCGGGCGTGTGCAGCGATACAAAAAAAGCCCCGTATTTTCCTCCTCCTTCGGGCTTTCTGACTTTTTTGATGCATGGAAGAAACGTGAATTCAATATTCCAATTTTATATTTAATAGTGCCCTCTTTTTCAAGACAAACGGGCTGTTCTCAGCTTGCTGGTACATCGCGCTTACCCCTGTCTGCCTTTCTCGATATTCGCTGTATGCGTAAGGAAAGCAAAGACGATATCGCCTGCAGTCATCTAAATTAATCCAAAATTTTTATTCGAGGTGATTACCTAAGTCTGTCTAAGTAGAGGAAGAAAGCTGGAAAGCTTTCAATATAGGGTAGCCCAACTACGGTACAGCGGATGAAGGAACTCTGTATGTGAAAGGCCTTTTATCAGGATTTTGACATGTTTACGCCACTATGTCAGTCGTACTTCTAGCAAATTAGCTGAAGAATAGTCAAAAGTACTCTTGGGTGAATTGTTGCTCCGGGGCTCGCGGCCAAACAAGCAAAAGTTCAGCGGGAAATTACTCCCAAATATGCATTCAGCATATCACTTAGCATGAGCGGAGAGAAGTGCGCCTCTAATGGTGAAGAATTTAGGGTCTGAGGTGTAATAGGGTTTGGCTCCAACTTCGAACTGTAAAGCCTCAAGGGATTCACGCCTAGGGTTTGCACGATACCTCATCTGCTCATCTCTCTCTTTGCCGCAGTATTGTTGCTGTTGTTACAATTGAGTATAGCCGGTGCATCAACTGCAGCAGCTCTACTAACGCTGCAACATGTGCGGCTGCAACAACCTTATGCAAGCAGCAGCTTCCGCCCTCAAGCTCATGTCATCTGCACGTCCTGCCTCCAGCAGTAGATCTGAAACACAGCGTAGGAAATACCTAGTACGCTGTTAATGACGTGCATGGTGGTATCCTTAAATTTAGTGATATTTTATGTTTTTGCAGCTGTAACGGAGGACGCTGCTGTGTAGTGAAGCAAATGATTGCAGTGTATGGAGGAGGTTGCACCCATTAAAGGCCATTAGTGACTCCTCGTAAAGTTATTTAGCAGACTTTAGTGCCTTCAATGGGCTCTGCCCAGTGGTTCTAGCCAATGTAACATGTTATGTCCACAATGCAGCAAATTCAGGTGCCTAGGCATCTCACGCATGTGTTGAGGCGGCTCATCTACCCCTCACAAAAAGGTCCGTCAGCTGTATAAGCAGATGTATAGTTAGCTATGTCAGGTGTCGATATAGCACAGAAGAAAGCACGCACCTTCTAGCCCCAGTACAAAGCGTAGGGCCCACGTTGTGGCTTGCCGTTCAGCCTGGAGCAGCGGAGGAGGAGGAACGGGTCTTATCTACTCTTTAAATTCCTGATTCTCTGTTTATTGGTTCTTGCTGCCAGTTTCTGGCTGATGTATAATGCAGCAAAGGAAGCAAATGCTTCTTTCACCACAAAGTGTCAAATCCGCTTACCCCCTGGCTCCTCTCCCCGCAGCTCTGTTGCAGAATAAACTCGATGGTGTACAAAGCCTGCATCGAGAACCGTCAGCCAGATTGACCCTCAGCAGAAGCAACACCGGCAACATCAGCTACAAAAGAAGCAATCGAAGCAAAAAGAACCACTAGACCAGAAGCAGCAGTAGAAGCACCATCAGCAGCAACAACAACGGAAGTAGCAACAACAGCAGCAACAGCAACAAAAGCGGTTCCCGCGTCTGCAGCAGCTGCAGCACCTGAAGCAGATGTAACAGCACCAGCAACACCAGGAGGCGCAGCAGCAGCAGCAGTAGTGTCTAAATGTATCTCGGCAGGCCTGTCCAGAAGCCTGTTCTGTATTGTGTGTATCTACATATCATTTGTAGGTTATCTGCCTTGTAATATCATTTGGTTATTTTCGTTATATGCACCATAGTATATGCCATAAAGAACAGAGCACATGTCTGTTATGGACACATCTTTCATGAAGAAGACAATAAAAGTACCAGAAAGGAAACAAACAGAAGTGGTGGGAAGCCGCGAAGATAACGAGCAGAAAACGAAGAAATGGAGGCGACGGCAAGAACATATACCTCAACAGGTTCGTTGTGCGCAAAGTAAAAGAAAACAAAAACGAAACCAAAGGAAGTGCAACAATCAACAATATTTTTTTCTTTATATCGGCAAGTCCTGCATGCAGCCCCAAAGTCCCTTAGAAAATTCGGAGCAGCAGGCAGAAAGACAAACAGGCACAGGTCATAAACAAGGACATAGCAGAGGGAGAGAAAAAACAAAAGAAAACAAAAACAGGTAAATGAAGGTGAAGCACAGAATGAATAGAGTAAAGAAAAAGTGGAGGAAGCAAAGAAAGACTAGGGAGGAAATAAAGAAAAACAATAAAACAGCAAATAGCAAGATGCGAACAGAAACAAAGATAAGGAAGAGGGAAATAAAACAGCGAAAAACAAGGAGACGTGTATTTAACCTCGAGAGCAGCACTGCAGGCGTCTCTGTATTGTTTGTCTGTTTCAACAACAAACTGCAGCCAACCGTCATGAGGTTCCTCTGTCTCCACTTCTTTGTTTTTAATTTGTTTCTCTCTCTGCTGCATGCACTGCAAGGAGCAGGAAAGGAAATGTGCTGCCGGCTGTATTCCAACAACACCTAGAACCTGAACCATCACAACCGTCAGAGAATTCCTCCTCTTCTTATTGCTGCTGAGGGTACTGTTCCTTAGGCTTGTGTTATTGCTGCTGCTGTTGCTGCTGCTACCGCAGCAGATGATACAGATGCTGTTTTGCTGGTGCTGCTGCTGTTGTTGCTGCTGCTGACGTCTGCTCGCAGGGACGGGACTTGCTAGTAGGCCAAGTTTTTCTTTTTGTCCTTTTTATTTTTCTTCCCTATTTTGCATTTGTTGGATACTAGAAGATAAACATACCTCAAACAACACTTCTCTTCGCCAGCGCAGGAGTGTGTAGACCTCACACTGAAGGCGGAAGCTGAAGGCCAGGAGCCGCAGCAACTGAACTACCAGAGGCCGCAGCATCCCTATATTTTCCAACTGCTGCTGTTGTTGCTGCTGCTGTCCCTCTAGCCCTCCTTTTGTGGATACATCCAACAGCAGGGGTAGCAGCTGAGACCAAATTGAGGAGGAACAACGGAGGGGCTACACCACACCTGATGATGCTGTTGCATATCTGCTGTATGGAGCGGACTAACAAAGCAGGGTAAGAACTAGAGAGAACGTACGACTATATGTATGTAAACACATAAATAGCTATATATAATGTTATGTAAAAGACCCTGAGATTGCATGCAGCCCCAAAAGGGCAGGTAGACTGACTTGAATGAAATGGTCGTTGTTAACAAGGGCTTCTCTTCCTGGTTCTGTTGCTGCTACTTTTGCAAGTAAATGAAGGGCGTCTGGTGCTCCTGTCCTCCACAAGACTCGGGTGTACATACACCCCACACCCACTACCTGTTTACACCATATGTTGAAGATGAAGTGTACAATTGACTAAATTCCCTTTAATAGTCTGCGCTACGATGTCGGCAGCAGTGGTAAAAATGATAGCCAACAGGAAAAGGGGAAGAAAAGGAGCAAAGAAGGACAGGGCATAAAAAACGGAGACACACGAAGGGGGATAAAGCAGACAAACAAAGAAGACAAACAAAGAAGACAAACAAAGACGGCAAACACAAGAAGGGAGGAAATCACAAAGGACAGAAGAAAAATTAAACATGCAAAAATGAGACATTGTCTCTACCAGAGCAGAGCACAACATACTCGGGGGGCATCAGCATGAATACTCAATGAATATAAGCTATAAATAAAAAGAAGAGAAAGAAGGGAAAGGAGACAGAAATGACCTCTGGGGTGGCGATATCCTCAGCTGCTTGCGGCTCCATGCCAAGGACTGTAATAAGACGAAGTAACCTGCAGCAGCAGAGAGTTGGAGAAAATGCAAAATAAAGGCACAAAACAATATGCAAAAAAGAGAATAAAAAAAAAGGTGGTATAAAAAATAAAGACGAGGTGGCAAACAAACAGCGTCACTCCGTCGTCTTGAACTGCATGCTGGCACTTAGATTTTTTTTCTATTTTTTTTTTGTGTAGAAGGAGCATTAATAGAATATATAAATGCCCAGGAGAGTCTCAGCGCTTTTCTTGTTGACGCAAGTTATTAAAGACTTGATCAATCTTCTTTCTGCCTCCGTCAATAGAGGGGGGGGGAAAATGTGCAGCTTTAGTAGACTGTATATTTGCACTGAGGTAGAGAGGAGGGTAGAAGTTGAATAAAAATAAGAAAAAAGGATGGAGCTGTAGCACCGACATGCATGCTGTCTCCAAGGAAACAGACAAAGATGGCAAACCGGCGGGTTGCTCAAATGCTGCTGTTGTCATTGTTGTTGTAAGATGTTGATGCTCAAGTTGCTGCAGCTCAGGTAACAGCAGCCAGAGCAACTTCGCTGCTGCTGCGATGATGCTGCTGCCTAGCATGCGCCTTCTAGCCTCACAAACGCTGACAGCAGCAGCACAAATAGAGAAATGCAAAAATACAAAACAGCGAATGTGAAGGGAGAGAAAGGCAACAAAAACAAGGGAAATAAGATCCCATGCAGGGAGAGGAATGAAGATATAATATAGAGTAGTCCTCTGCAGAAAAGCAGAAATAAGGAGAAGTATGCAGCAACGAGGAGCGAGCAAACAAGAACGGTGCAAGAGAAAAGCAACAAGGAAAAGGATGTAACAAGAAAACAGAAAACAAACACTTGGAGGAAAGAAGAGCACAGGATGCGCTCTATACACTCCTCACAAATTACTTCCCTTTTTAATTACTTATTATTTAATTATTTATTTATTAATTGTTCAATTATTTGTTGGACAGCTCACGCTGCAACGCTGCATGCAGCCACTGCTGCATCACGGAGCAAACCGCGACCCTCCTAAGGGCCGCACGCATCATCAAAACATAAGCAGAAAAACAAGAACAAGCTGAGCCACCAGCAGCAGCAGAAGCAGCAGCAGAAGCAGCAGCAGAAGCAGCAGCAGAAGCAGCAGGAGCAGCAGAGGCAGCAGTAACAACAGCAGCAACAGCTTGAGCAGCACCAGCAGCAGCAGCAGCAGCAGCAAGTGTAGCACTTACTGGATTAGGCAGTTTCCAGCATGCGGTGCAAAGGTAAGAAGTGAGTTGGCCATCCGCACCTAAGCAAAAAAAAAAAAAAATCCAGCAGCAACTGCAGCACAACAATATTAGCAAAAAACATCCAAATAGGAAAGGAATAAACCCTAAACCCTAAACCCTAAACCCTAAACCCTACCTGCATCGGCTAAGATTTTCCCTCCATCGTCTTCATTGCAAATGGAGGAGAGAAGATCTGCAGCGAAACACCTAAAGGAGAAACAGAAACAACAATTGTTATTCAGGTGTATAAATAAATGTGTATAAATAAATAAATAAGTAACATGATGAATAGATAAGATATATATTATTATTTGTTTCCTTACGTATCTATGTTTGTTTCTTTTTCTTTTTTTGTTTTGCCTAACATTGTGTTTTCTTCTTTTGTCTAATTTTCTGCACTTTTGTATAATTATGTGTACTTTTGTTTAATTTATTTATTTCTTTTCTTTTTTTTATTATTTTTTTCCTCTCCTTTTTTTTTATGTATAGGATATAAATATATATATACCTGATGGTTATGTTAGGGTGCGAACTAAAAAGATTAGCAGCAGCAGCAAAGACTCCCTCTGCTGCTAGTTGCTCTCTTCCTCTTTGTCTTCTTGCTAATTGCTTGAATAGAGGAAGAAGAGCAGCTAATATAAATCCTTTTGTTCCTTCATTGTCTTTTGCTTCTTTTGTATCCATCATTTCTATCATTTTTGCTGCTTCTCTTTGCTGCTGCTGCTCTGCTGCTGTACTAAAGGTCTCGCATAGTGTTGCTGCTGCAGGGGATTGCGCATTTGCTCCTGCACTGTACATACACCCTGCTCGTTGCAGAGGAGAGAGCTGCAGCAGCATCAGTTGCTTCCTTAGTGCTGCTTCCTCTCCCTCGTTGGTTGCTGCTGCTGCTGCTGCTGCTGTCGCTGCTGCATTTGCAGCTGCAGTTGCTGCTGCCGTTGCTGCTGCTGTTGCTGCTGCTGTTGCTGCTGCAGCTGCTGCCGTTGCTGCTGCTGTTGCTACTCTAGGGGAACCTCGACCATCTCTGCTGCCCAGCTGCTGCTGCTGCTTGTGCTGCTCTATGCAACAGGGCATAGGACCCATGGCATATCTTAACAAGGGAGACAAAACAGCAACAAACCCGAGCTCAATTGCTTGGTTGAGCAACTCCTGCAAACAATAAATAAATAAATAAATAAATAAATAAATAAATAAATTATAATATATATGCATGTGCATAAGAGAAAAAAGCCTTAGAGGGAGGAAACAATGCAAAGAGGAAGAAAAGAGGAGAGAAGGAAGAGAAAGACAAAAGAAAACAAACCAACAGGCAGCAAACAAACAAACAAACAAAAAAAGGAAGGAAGAAACAAAGGAAAAAAAGAAAAGAAGAAAACATACAGGTTTAGTGATTGAATCTGCTAAACATATTAATGCCTCAAGAAGATCACCGCCATGATTTTTCTCTCCTTTTCCTATGAGCATGCAAAGACGACGGAGTAATCCTTCGCCATATCTAAGGGGAAAAAGAAAAGAAATAAAAAAGGAAAAAAAAAGGAAATAAAGAAAAAAGAAATAAAAAAAGGAATAAAAAAGAAATAAAAAGAAATAAAAAACATTGTAACAATCAACACAATCAATGGACTCCCTATGCATGCACAACCAGCCCCAATGTCGAGGATGCATGCAAAAAGCTGCTCTGCGAATGTATTGCTGCTGCTGCTGCATGTATGCAGAGGCCGGCAGGAGCAATGCCTTGGTGCCTGCTGCAAATCCTTGAGGTATGTATGTATGCATGCATGCATGCAAAGCAGCAGGCATGTGCGTATGTAAGGATTTCGAGTGTACAGGCAGGTGGGTACAAGGTTCCTGTATGCGATCCCGTCATGATCTATTGAGACATTGGGATCGTGGGATCGTGGGATCGTAGGATCGTGGGATCGTGGGATCGGGATCGTGGGATCGGGGGATCGTGGGATCGGGATCGTGGGATCGTGGGATCGAGTTGACTTACGCGAGTGTGACATGTTTATCTGTTGTACGACTTTGGGTCTCAGGGAAAAAAGGATAATTAGCGGCGAGTTCGTCTGTGGCTATATGCCTATAGTACCCTAGTAGCCTGTAGGGTCTGTCAGAGGTCTGTGCATGCATTTTCTTAATATAATTTACTATTTTATTTATTTATTTCTTTTTATTTATTTATTTTTTTCTTTTTTATTTAATAAGTCTCCCTTTTGTTCTATTCAGTAGAGGGGAAAGAAGCAAAATAGTGCAGTAGGAGGAAAAGAGCCCTTGGTGTTGTCTTGGTTAGGCACAAACAAAGGAAGAAAAATAAAGTCGTTGCTGTAGGTTTAGTTCTACTCTATGCCAACAATTGGAGAAGCAAAGAGCAACGTCAAACCCTAAACCCTAAACCCTAAACCCTAAACTAGTTTAGCCTAAGAACAGGATAGACTTTTTATGTGTATAGGAGGCTGCCGACACCTCTAAGTGCACAGAATTGAGGGAAATGCGATAAAATTAATTACTTTTATTTATTTTAATTAATTAAATAAAAATAAATAAATTATATTAATTTACAGACATAAACAGTTGTGTATGTATGTATAACAGCACGAGCAGGACAGAAGAAAAGAGCGATAGGGAGAAGGAGAGAGCGAGCACAGGGCTCTTAATGAAGGAATAAAGGCAATAATAAATGAAATAAATAATTTTTATTTAAATAAATTAAAAAAAATAAATATTTATTTTATTTTGTTGGCAAGCTAAGCAGTATTTCCTGCAAAAAATACACAAAAAAAAAAAAGAACAGTAGCTCGGTGCGCAGAGAGCGTATGCTGCATGCAACTGGTTGGTGGTGTGCGGTGTGTTAATGGGTAAAATAAAGAAATATTTATAAATAAAAATAATAATTTTAATTAATTAATTATAAATAAAAAGAATAATTATATTTTATTTCTTTTATTTATACTATTTACTAGAGGGGGAAGCGCTATTCTTTGTGGGGCTGGGTCTTCTTCTTATGTCTTATTTTTCCTCTCCTTAGTAAATAAAAGAAGAAAAGAATAAAAGAAATAATTAATAATTAATTAATAATAAATAATAACAACATTAATGAGCAAAAAAAAGAAAAGAAATATAATTAATAATTCGTTATAACTATAGACACAGAGGTAGTGACCACAGGGGTAGTAAGAAGGAAAAAGGAATAAAAATACAAATAATACTAACAAGAATAATAAAATAAACATAAATAATAATAATAATAATAATATTAATAAATAATAATAATAAATAATAATAATTAACAATAATTAATAATAATAATAAATAATAATAGTAATAATACTAGTAATAACTACAAGAGTTAATAAGTACTCCCCTTTATTGATTAATTGTATAAAAAGAATAAATAATAAATAAAAAGATAAAAGTTGTTTATTTTATGTAAATGTTCTGCATGCGTCTCCTTAGTAACATTTATTTATTTATTTGTTGTTTGCTGCATGCAAGAAGGCAGCAGCAAACCACACTGCAGCAGCAGGAGCAGCAGCAACAGCAGCAACAGCAGCAGCAACTATCTAGGTTTAATGAGGACCTCATCTCCTTGTTGTTATGAATATGTATTTAAAGGGTTAATAAGTTAATAAAAAGAGAAGAAAAAAGGGGAAAAAAATCCCTAAACCCTAAACCCTAAACCCTAAACCCTAAACCCTAAAAGGATAAAGGGGAGACAAAAGAAGCTACAAATAAGCAAATAGACAAAATAAATAAAATAATAAAAGAAAACAAATAAACAATAAACAAGTTAATTTATATTAACAAAAAGGAAGAGAGCTATATAGTTAAATGCAGCAGCAAGGCCAGCAGCATCACCTGCTGCTGCTGCTGCTGCTGCTGCTGCTGCAACAGCAGCAGAAATGCCATTGTATCGATGGTGTCCACAAAGAGAAAAGGAGAAAAAGTATTAAAATAAAAAAACAAGAAAAGAAAAACAGAAGAAAAAGGAAACAAACAGAGAAAAAGGAAAAGAAAAAGGAAAAAAGAAATAAATAAATAAATAAATAAAAAAAAAAAAAAAAAAAAAAAAAAAAAAA